AAAAAAGTTCTTGCCATGTCGAAGCGGTCCTTGCCGCTATATGTGCGCTTTATAGCGCGCTATAGCGCTATATAAAGGAACACACTTTCAGAGTATAGCTTCACTCCAAGTTGTAGTCATTTTGGCACATCAAGATTAGATACAAAAAAGTATTAAGCTGACATACTGAACGGTTTATATTTGAATTGATAAATAATCGATTCAGATTAGGAACTTCAAGATGACACATCACTTCATCTTGATCATTCAGTTTTGATGATGATGATGGTTGTTGTTGAATCAATTGAAAATAAGAAGTCAGAAGTAGAACCTAAACTATTTTGAATATGAATTCTGAGAGTATGATTAGATTTGAAGTTATTTGAAGTATGACTACGAATTGAAGTAATGTGATTGGCTGTTGATGATTATCTTGTTGAAGTAAGATTGATTGAAATTGATAAGTTTTGATTGGTTTTCCGTTTAAGATTTGTTTTAAAATCGAAATTGGTTCAGTTTGAAGAGATCCACTGTGATCGGTTCTGATCGGTTCATACCTTTGTACCATTTCATTTTGCTCCGCTATATAGCGGAGTGACACCTCCTGGGCCGGGTTGCGCAGCGATTGCTCCGCTATGAGAAAACTCAGCCGTGGAGTGCGGTGCGCTGGCTGCGCTATGTGTTTCGGAGCCCATAGTGCACGCGAAAACCGCTGCGATATCGCTCCGCAACCGCTATATATGGCGATGCGGTTCGGGTATTGGATGAAGGTCCCGGTCTGGCGCAGAAGACGTTCGGCCACCTTGTCAAGATATAACGTGGGGTCATCCTCAAGCATCTCCTCAATGAAATCACGCTCGATGGTTGAAAGGATTGTCGGTGGGCCTCGTGGTTCATAGAATTGTGGATTGGAAAGCACTGATCGGGTTGTTTCATAAGGATGGCGCCATCGACTGAGAGATTGGCGGGAGATGTTGATATCCATACGATCGTTGATTGAACCAAGGTCTACTCCAGCAAGGGCAAGACGGACGGCGATGACTTTGATGTCAGCTGAATATTTCACGTACATCAGAAAACGAAAGATAAGTGATGTGATGGTAGAGGTTTAGGAGGAAGTAGGGACTCGTTGAGTGGTGAACTGGTAGGTATGTAAAGTGAAACTGTCACATGTGTGACATAACTGCTGATAATTGTGCCTGCTGGTTACAGATGTGTGGTTTTATATAAAAAGATAACAACATTTACCGTGTATAAAAAATTGTTTTTTTCTCAAGAAATGGAATACAATGCTTCAGAATCATTTGAGCAAAAAAAAACAGCTGATAAAAGTCACTTTTGAACTTATGCAAAAGCAAATACAAAAATTACAAAGCGCAGAAACCAAAAGCAAAGTCCAAGGTTCATAGGACCAGCTGTACTTGTCTTCTTTGATGTAAAGCTTCAATCTAGCAATGCTTGGCCACATAAATCTGACCGCAAAACTCAAGCAGTTTGGAGTGGGAATTTCGGAAACCTGCAATGTGTTTGATAGGGTCATCAACTTCCTTTCCTTACGTTTTGTGATGCCAAGCTATGGTGAAAGCTGAATTTTGAACTAGCGTGGAAAGGATGCAAAATCCATGTGATGGAGTAAGTTGTAGTCTTGAATCATGCATTCGTCTCAAGCTGATCTATGTAGTCTGTTACTCATTTTGAGTCTGGTCTTGGCAACTGATCTCTTGTCCAAAATGTTAAGGAGATATACAAAACCAAAACCTGATAAATGGCATTGAAGATTACTCAAGGAACTGAACCTTTGTTCTCAAATTTCAATTTCCTCTGCCCAAAGCCCAAGCCCAAACCCCTCTGTGTTGTTTCCCTCTGTTATAATGACAACAAAATCCCCTTCATAATTCATCAGAATCATTGTCAATGTCAACAGGTGAATGCCCAACAGAATGAAGAATTTGAAATATCAGTAAGATATGATACAAGTTGCAACAACCAATATAGGCATGAATGAAAAAGATGACAAAACAGAACATGGTAAGATATAATTCATTTTGAATAGAAATTTTATAGATTTGATGTGTTTTTTATAAGATCATAAAAGGTTCACAAAAAAAGCACCACCAACATATTTACCTCGGATTTTGTAATCCGAGGTATCCTTGGATGCAAAACCTCGGACAGAAGCTTCCCAAGGTTTTGATCCGAGGTAATTCTCAGGGCAAAAAAATACCTCAGGCAAATACCTCGGACAAGGTTTGTCCAAGGATTTGCCTCCGATGATGCCTTGGATTTCTCAACCCGAGGCATCTATGCTGGCAGTGAAGTGATGAAGAGAGAAATGTGAAAAGGCTGATTCAAAAGAATTAATGTTGAGCAGAAGCTCTGACCTTTGTACTATCGCCCATGGTATATTTAATGTGATATTAGGGGGTTTCAAGTTAGGTTTTTTTTGCGTATTTTTACGCTACAACAACTTGCCCGTTGTTGTAAAATATGCGTAAATTTTTTACAGCGGGACACCTTTTTAGGTGTCCCGAATTCAAAATATGTTGTTTGACAAAGATTTTTTTTACAAAAAACTTGTCCGAATTTAAAAACATTACACAAAAAAAATTGAACTTGAAACCCCCTATTTGATTCCTTCTTTTCTAAAGTCTTCAGGAAAGCCTTCCGGATTCAGTATCAGAAAACTCCATTAATTGAGGAGTAGGTCCATATTGAGGCCATTGAACTGTTACTCCCTTTGGGTTAGGGTCTGTAATTTTAAATCAACGAGTTTGAAAATCGGCATTTCCTCCAGAACTGAAGGCCTTTAAGGCGCTCAGAGTGTTCACACCTGCGTATGAACCTGGAACACAGTTACGAGCATGTACAAAGACGAGCTGATCAAATCTACATTATTTATGCTTTTGTTCCAAACTGAAGAATTACGATTATAGTGCAGTTATCAAACTTTAAATTATAAGAGAAAATTAGCTGAACAAAGCTGATGCGGCTATCATTGATAGTATAATGATGCTACAAGCTCGTGTATGAAGTCTAAATCCAAAAATTCCTTCAAAACTTGTTCTCCTAGCATTACTGGTCTGATCACCTAGAATAAACACGATCAAATATCAACCCAAGTCGCGATTGATGCAATGCCACTTCAATTGAATTTGTACATATTTACGTGGAGAACATTGATGGTATCCGGGCTTACCTGTGGTTTTAGATACACCCAGGGATCCTTTATTTTCCTTTGCTGATGCCTGAAATGCAGAAAATGTTTGAGGGCCTACTTTGGCAGGGTTGATGGCTCCGACCATTCCCTAGAGTTCAACAACAAAAAAAACATCATATAAATTAGATACAAATCATTTTTTTGAAGGTATGAGGTACTAGCTGATTTGTAACTCACCGGATTACAGTGTTTTGGTATATCACAGAAGAACCATAGTGGGGTATTAACTTTGATTCGGATTACAAATTTAGGTAACTTTGAATCAGGCGTGTTAGGTCTGATTGAAGTTTGAAATAGAATCATTTCAGTATCCTCTTCTTATCAAACTCATCAAGAGTACATCACTCAAATACTTACTTTACAGGTACAAGACCTGAACTAAATCCCTCACCGCCTGATCCAAAAGTGGCAGGTTTACAAGGAGATTCAAATAATGCTTGTGTGACTGTATGTGCTCCAGGCTATATATATTTAAATCAAATCATGATCATGAATAAAAATTAATTAATTTTCATTCCAATGTAGCTAATGCCAATTGATTTGTAAATATTAGAGAATATTTTACCTTGAAGACAAAAGTCACAGTGTCCCCTATCTTAGCCTCTACAACGTTAGGTGTAAATAAGTCGCCTCCAGTTGGGCTTCCTACTTGCACAACGTGATTTTGAGCCGATTTGGTGGTGTTGGCTGCTGTAAAAACGACCTCCTTGGGGGGTGATTGCGGTGCCGCAAAATTGACGCTCATCATAGGGAAGATCATGAACGATATCCTTACGGCATTGCGAAACATCATAGATTACTGAGATACAAAATACGACTTGCTTACGTGCGCAGAGTGCAACGATTCCTGATCGCACAAGGTGATGATTAAGGGAAAGAAAAGGTAAAAAACAAAGCTTGGGTCGATAGGAAGGTTGATGAGGTATTCAAAGAATTTAATGAGTGTTATAATTGGACGAATAGTGCTCATTCAGTTTGATTGCACACAAATCACGGTATCTAAGTACCTTGGGTTTCACAAGCAACACGCTCGTGATAAGCCAATCAGCGAGTCTCGACAGCCACCGACACCTGCATGTGATGATTTTGGTGAACTTTTGCTGGCATCCATAGGTGATGTTGAACGGATCTTTGAGGTTCAAATGAATTTCGTGACTACCTGTAGGATCTCACTCTAATGTATATTTATTCATGGAAACCAGTGAGAGATTTCATATGTTGGACATGAAGGGGAACCAATGGGGGATATATACGCTCCTATATGAGCAAAAATTCATCCATCCATTGCACCAAACTGGTGCGATATTGAAATACTTTCACATCCAGCACAAAAACATGGTGTGCCACCTCGAAGAGAAAAGTGTAGCGAGGCCGCCAAGTAGGTACAACACTTCTATACTCCACAGAAGATCATGACAACTTGACTATACCGCATAGTTGAGTCAGAAGCCTTGTTTCTTGGGATCTTTGGTCGACTCATATAACTGATGATCAACCTCTTGAACATCTGCTGAGGTGGAAATCAAATGTCCTTTGTGAGTGCGACATGTAGATCAAAAGGTGGTGCATGCATGCACTTTCGTGTAGCGCCGGCCTATGCATGTCGGGCCTGCTGGCTACTTCCTCTGGACGGCATCCTCCATGGATCTCCTCCTCGCCATTCTTTTGGCTGTGATCACACACAATCCTCAATTTGCTGAAAGCTCTGATTAAAAACCGCACTCATCGATTCGATAGTCTTAAGCTGTTGTGATATTCACAGTGTCATCAAATGAAGTCGTCTGACATCCAGCAACTTTCTCAACCATTGCCGTCTCATCGGACGAAGCATCTCAAGCACTTACAGTATAACCTCTGGCCACCAGTTCTCAAGCCTTCGTACAACTCCGTCCAGTCACCCACGGTTCACATTTCACTTCTTCAAAATGATAACTGCGGCTTGTCGACTGGCTCAACCCTATGGCTAGGTGCTCAAGTTGAGTGAATGTTTTTGTTTGATGTTGACACACCGCTACGCGAAGCATAGATTTAAGCCCAATCTTCAATCCCCAGAGCCGAAGGTCAATGTGAACTGCTGATCAAGGGTGTCGGTGTACTGACATTGAGATTTGATGTGTATGCTCGAATCCAGGTGCTGTCCGCCTATCTTTTGTCGCATGTGCCAAGCCGGACAACGAGGAAATGTCAATCCAGATGTGCTATAGAGATTGGAGCAGGAACAGGTATGATGCAGGCTTGAACTACTTAAAACAGATTTGTCACTTGTAATTTCTGACATGAAATCTTTTTCATTGCAATAACCTCTTGATCACCAGGTTTGATGTCGATTACTCTATCCGCCCTTGGGTACCACGTCCTGGCCACTGATATCGAGCCCTCGTTGACATCGATTTTGATGCCAAACGTCAAGGGATGGGTATCAAGCAGCAGCGCTGAGAGTGGGCCACTGTGCGTCGGCCGACTGGACTGGAACCTTCCAATCAATTACCGCACAATTCAATCATGTCTAAACTCTACCCTCGAACCTGGATACCTTCAAGATGTCCTTATTGACCTAAATCAAGATGATGATGAAAATGATCAAGACATAGGGCTTGAAAGCAAGATTGAATTTGATTTGATCGTCACAACCGATACCGTCTACACCTCCGAGCTTTTAAGACCACTACTCATGACTCTCAAAAACCTATCAGACTCATCAACTCGACCTCCACCTATCTATCTTGCTCTCGAGCGGCGGGATCCGGCTCTAGTAGAAAGTTTCTTCAAGATGGCAGATCAGTTGAATTTCAAGGCTGATCGGATTGATCATAGCAGCCTGGTCAAACTCACTGAACAAATGGGGTGGGAATTGGATGATTGGGAAGGGGTTGAGGTGTGGAAGTTGCGTCAGAGAGTTCAAAAACTCAAAGCTAGACACGTCTCTGGGACCACACCAAAATAAAATATCTTTGGTTGATGAGTTAAAGAGATAGATGAGTAAAGTGCAAAATTGCTTGCACACCTTTCCCAATTGTTGTCTGACTACCAATAATTTGTTGAGCTATTTGTTGTTCTGGCAGCAAAAACCAAGCATGGCTATTTCTCCTTGAATTTACTGCTAGAGAATATCTTCCATCATAATAAGATGTTTGTAATCATGAACTCCAATTACGATATTTGCAAGCTGCATCATACCCCACTTCAAGAGAAAATATATAAAGGTCCTGTATGATGTATACTTTTCATTTACCAACCGTTTTTGTAGCACCACTCTTCACTGCATACCTCATTATTGTACTCGCAACCCCCATAACTCAATGCCGGTCAAATTCATTTGTTGCTTGAGATTCTTTCGAAGATGAAAAACAGCGCAGACATCATATGAACTACATTGGTGCTTTATGGCCCCTTTAAGAGTAATGTCAGGGCAGGATCTCATACTTCACACACACGATTCAATACCAACCACTCAGCTTACTCTAACATCACTTTGGTCAGGTTGTGTTCAGAGATTTTACCAGACATGTGTTTTGGTACTCCACCCACACCATTTGTCTCCATTATCACATCTATTGTATCTCCCTTATTGAGGTACTTCTGGACTTTGAAGTGTAACCCTTACATAAACCACATCTCTGCTGTCCTTTTCATATCTTCTTTGGTTTCTTATGGTAGATAGTTGTTTTGGGCTTTCAACTATCTCCATTTTATTGTGTTAGAAACATCTAGTTTCTTTTTCTGCACGTCAGGTAAGAACCAAGATATCTTGAGCTTATCGAAACTCAGATCATTTATTTTCCTTGCCCTTTATGATATTGATGAGATTAACTTGTGGCAAAATCTGCAACCTTGATGAATTTCTGTTCATGAGAGAGTGCAATCACACATCTTGATTCTGACCTCTAGGCCGTTCTTGAGGCCAGGTGTTCCAGAGTCCAGAGTCAGACTCCTCTTCTGCGTTGTACATATGTACATCAATACTAAACTTGAGAACTGTAATAAAAGAACACGGTCGGAACAATCGGCGGCATATGCAGTACAAGTATAAGGCTACAGTCTAATAGCAAGAGCTGTATGATGACCCCATTCAAAAATCAATGAAGTCATCGGGTGAGCTGTGGTGTTACTGCTGCGATCGATCCGAGAAATATATCTTGGAAGAGTTTAAAAAGCAAAGACCTGTTTACCGATCATAATTACCAACTCACTCCAAACCACTATCTCCACGGAAAGAAACACTTGACTTCTTCTGATTGGGGTTTGATTATCATCATACCTAGTCAGTTTACTTCTTTCCTATCATCCCAGCTATGTCGGTCCAATCCCATCACACACACATCCATCACTGGCTTCCGATCATCCTCACAGGTCTCCCTCTGCCACACGTAGTGCGAGTCGAGCGATGTCCGAATCGGCTAACGGGACTCTCTCTTCTCTTTCTACCTCTAGACCTATCACTCAGCGTATATCTCAACTCACTTCCCACTTGACTAACTCCATTCGAGATACTATCAATATGTCGGTCTATCTTCATTTACTTAATCTCAAAGCAAACAGCTTACTGACTCGATCTTGTATCCACTCAGGTCTCCAAAGGGTGATATCGGTCTCATTGGCTTGGCGTGAGTAGGACTGAATTCACCTTTGTACATGACTTTGTCACTGACGTGGTTGCATTCGTATTTTTTACAGCGTCATGGGTAAGTCAACAGGTCACTCGAATCGATGTGTACTTGTCAAGTGTCATACTTATCCGTTCGGCCTGTGCTTCCTTTTTGGCAGGCTGTAATTTGATCATGAACATGGTATGTCAGGATATTTTCATTCATACCCTCATTTCAGCCAGCTGACGTTTGTTTATAAATTGCAGAATGACAAGGGTTTTACTGTCGTGGCCTACAATCGTACAGTCTCTAAAGTTGACGAGTTCCTAGCAGACCAAGCTAAGGGCTCCAACGTAATTGGAGCTCACTCCGTCGAAGAACTTTGCTCAAATCTCAAGACACCCAGGCGAATCATCCTCTTAGTCAAGGCCGGTGCGGCTGTTGATGCTTTCATCGAACAACTTTTGCCTCATCTCGAAAAGGGTGACATCATCATCGATGGTGGTAACTCTCTCTACACCGACTCGACTCGCCGTTGCAAAGAGTTAGAGGCCAAGGGTCTATTCTTCGTTGGATCGGGTGTTTCCGGTGGTGAAGAGGGCGCTAGATACGGACCTTCGCTCAGTGAGATGCTGTTTCTGATATTTCCATCTCAGTCCGTGACCAATCTCTCAATGTCTTGAACTTCCTTCAGTGCCCGGTGGTTCCGAAGGCGCATGGCCGCACATCAAGGAGATTTTCCAAAAGACTGCTGCTCAATCCGAAGGTGAACCCTGCTGTGATTGGGTCGGTCAAGAAGGAGCCGGACATTACGTCAAGATGGTCCACAATGGTATCGAAGTACGCATTTTGTTTCTTTGTTGATTTTAGAAGACCGTGTATTGAAGCATGATTTCTGAACAGTACGGTGACATGCAATTGATTTGCGAGGCGTATGATATCTTGAAGCGCGGTCTTGGTCTCTCGGAGGCTGAGATCGGAGACATTTTCACCACTTGGAACAAGGGTGTCCTTGACTCCTTCCTCATGGAGATCACTCGTGATATCCTTAAATTCAATGATACCGACGGTACTCCACTTGTGACCAAAATCCTTGACCAAGCTGGCCAAAAAGGAACCGGCAAGTGGACTGCTATCAACGCTCTCGACCTTGGTATGCCTTTGACCCTCATCGGGGAAGCAGTGTTTGCTCGATGCCTCTCGGGTATCAAATCGGAAAGAGTAAAGGCTAGCAAGTTGCTAGGAGGTCCCCAAATTGAGCCCTTCAAAGGAGACAAAAAGCAATTCATTGATGATTTGGAGCAAGCGATGTATGCTAGTAAATTGATATCTTACGCTCAAGGATTCATGTTGATGCGCGAAGCTGCAAAAGAGTATGGCTGGACCTTGAACTAGTGAGTTATATCGGTTACTTTCGCGAAACCAACTTGAGCTGATGAGATCTTCTGTAGCCCCTCGATCGCTTTGATGTGGCGTGGTGGATGTATCATTCGATCAGTCTTTTTGGCCGAAGTCAGTATCTCATCTTATTGATTTATTGTCATCTCCATGTCTAATCACTTTTTGCCAATGCTGTCCAGATCACCAAAGCTTTCAAGGCTGAGCCAGATCTTCAAAACTTGTTGTTTAACGATTTCTTCAACCAAGCAATCCACAAAGCGCAACCAGGATGGCGTCGAATCATCGCTCAAACCTCACTCTGGGGCATCCCCACTCCTGCTTTTTCCACCGCACTAGCTTTCTTTGATGGATACAGATCTGAGAGACTTCCTGCTAGCTTGTTGCAAGCTCAGCGAGATTACTTTGGTGCCCATACCTTCAGAATCTTACCGGAACACGCCAGTGATAAATACCCTGAAGGCAAAGATCACCATGGTCAGTTTTTTTGCGCTGATTCTCTATTGTCCCTTGATAATATCCGCTCATTGGCTCGTGTTTCTATTCCGCGTTTAGTGAACTGGACTGGCCGAGGTGGAAACATTTCAGCAACTACCTATGGAGCTTAAATTATTTTTGTATTGTAACCTCAGGCACAAAATTGTAACTCAACAAGCCTTTTTTATCTAAATGTGTGATGCTGTCCACCTCGAATAAGTAAGGCATTCGAAGTCTCGACTTCCAAACATTGGGCTATCCTTATCCGCAAAAGCAGATCTCGACATATTTTCCTCTCGTCGATTGATCGGTCATATCATAGGTGCAAGGGACGTGATATTCGTTCCGATGTTCTAGAATTCAAACAGGAAACAGTGCAGTGCAATGTAATATAAAGAATGTTACATTTATGAATTCCTTCACATAAAGCCATTACCGTTCCCGGCCACTGGGCTGAGGGGTTGATCTTGGTACCTTGTGTATCTGGTAACTAGATACTTCAAGTGTGGTAGCGGTAGGGAAGCACGTAAAACCAACTACGCAACTAAAAGCGCGTCTATCTCATGGTGGCAAGTCCTGGTAAGGGGTATCTCCAAAACACGGCTCTTATTTTGTGTCTATCTCTTGATCATCTTTTGTGACACTGTCGGTGCCTTGTACCACTGATAAGTCTTGCCTCGCTATTTCCCCATGTGAGCTCATATCCACTTCTCGTCAACAAATAATCAAACTTTAAACACGATGAGATCTTAGATTATCATCGTCATCATTTGGATTTTTCTAATATCTTTTGATGAGGGTTAGATCGACAGATCGATTAGAAGTTGGACGAAGTAAATCTCAAATTTCCAAAGGCTGCAAACTTTTCATGGTTGATAAGTAAGTAAGCTTTTGGTTTTGAACATTGGACTTTTGATGCAAAAGATGGGGCATGTAGAATGATTTGAAGTACTTCATAAATTCACACTTGAGTAAAATTGGATATGATTTTGTATGAAATCAGAAGCTAGCAATCATTTTCCATTCACATTGTTTCTAAATTATGTTGGGTGCAGATGTTTTACCTCGGTGTACCACCAAGCTTTCTGGCACCACTTTGCACCTATGACCGGAGGGACAACGTTACTTTGCTCATGTAGAATATTGGAAGTGTTTGTGAACAGCCACATGATTCATGAGGGTGGGCATATCTAGTCATTTTGTCAACTATATGCGGGGTATCACAAATGGATACTTTCAACATTGGGTCTCTTCAATATTTGGCCTAATTTCATGATAAGTATACCTTTGATTGATCTGCATCAAGTGAATGGACATCCAGCAATGATAATAGATATGTCTGAACAGCTCAGTATAGAGGTCTACGATGAAGTCGAGTACCCATAACTCGGAGATTTGTCACGTGACAGGATGGCCGAGTGGTTAAGGCGGCAGTTTTGAATGATTTCCACCTGTGAAATACATTAGCTGCTTCACTTTGTGAGCGTGAGTTCAAACCTCACTCCTGTCGAGTTTTTGCTGCCTCAATGAGGCCTTGTATTCACGTCAATGGGGGGAGTGTCAATCATTCTCATAAGGGGAAATTCTGATGTTGTACCACTACAGTTACCCTTTGTGCAGTGACTACAGATTTGTGTCTTGTTTTTTGTCAGTCATCCCTTCCTATCACTATCCTATCCATCTTTCAACAACTATCACTGACACCACATCCATTCCTCTATAGCATGTTGACATGCACACACAAATGCCTTGGTAGAACATTGATACATGCATCAAATAAGTCTTCAGACTGCCCTTTGTAAAGAAGACCAGACAGTGGGATGTTGATCAGACATAGGAGGTCTGATCATCCTTGTCCAAAGTTGGTTCACTGTAGTTTCTGAAAATGGATGTGCCACATGTAGAGGCCTCAATTGTCTTCTGCTAGAAACATCCTCTGCCATCCTCAACAAGCCTAATGTGGAAAATGTCATCCAATCAAACTAAATCAACTTGATACAGCTGTCTTGTGCTTATTTTGTCATTTATTAAAGTTGTTGGGATCAATTTTTGTGTTACCGACTTATCATGAGACACATAGCACTACACAATGCACATAGAAATCCAGAGAATGTTGCCCACATATCCACCTCATTGCACTACAAGAGATCTGTCACCATTTTTCACAAGCATTGAGGCTAATTTGTGCTCTCCTCAGGTTTCACAATGCCAAGATCACTGTGATACACTGCAACATCTGACTGGTTTTGGATATTGTAGTGTTAGTACAATATAATATAACCTTTCACTGCTGTGGTGTAATCCCTTGCCAATATCTACATCTTGTATCACAGTGACAGTCCACTTTGAGGACGCTATATAATTGCTATAGCGGTGAAAGTCTCTGAAAGCCATTAAGGGTTAGGGGTCTCTTGCTGTGCAACACACGAGTTCAATATGTACAAAGAAATTTTTATTATCATCCAAAGAGTGAGCAAAGTGTTTTGGGTAAGGACAGACAATGAAATAGAAAAGTAGGACATCTATAAGGTGGAAGGAGAGACAGAAAAGAAATTGAGTGTAAAAAAAACAGAGTATAACAAAAGAGACTGAAAATAACTTGAGGGTGAAATCAAAAGATAGCATAAAAAATGGACAGAATTCATTTTCCTTATACTTGCACACCAATAAAAGAGACAGCAAAGAAAACACAAAGTAAAAGTGAGAGGAGTGGGGATAAACAAATTCAATGAGAGGTAAAGCAGTTAAAGAAAAAGTGAGGCTTGAGGGAAGAGGAATAAAAAATTATACAAAGTCATTTTTTGTTAGAATTATTGGGTATGTACAGCAGGACAAGGTGGTTTGGCACCTCAAATGATTGAGATGATAGTGAGAGGTCAGTTGTGGGTCTCAGAAGGTATACCTTTAAGTGGCAACTTTGCTGAAGTGAGTAAGGTGATGGGATATGCCAAGAAGCCCATTCAAAAGGAATCAAGAAATACTCAATTTTGGTCAAGTTTACCATTACACTTTCAAATTATTTATCATTTCAATATGGTCTTTACAATGATTTTTTATGATTTTTTATGATCTTTTTTTTTTTTTAAAATTTTTTTTTGTATGTTTTTGTTTTCTATTCCCTCTTTCCATCCCTTTTATTCTCTTTCTTTACTGTCTTTGCACAATAACACCCTTTACCCATTTTTTTTTATTTTCTCCAACTCATTGGATAGATAATAAAAACCTTTTTTGGCTTGAAACACTCCGAAACACTGCAAGGAAGCAGAGCGTTCTAAGTTACCAATTTTCCAAAGATCCCCCCCGCTTCCGCTAAAGTTACCTGCCTTTTGTCCTTCCCAAAGCCGTAGCGCTTCCCATTTCATGGTTTTCTGTGCTGCACTGCACTGCGAGCCAGACTTGATTGTGGCATGACCTTCAAGGTTGGATTGCCACCAGAAGTTCCACACAGGAGTCTCTGAATAAGTAACACCAGCACTGCCACAGTTACTATACTAGTACAGTATTGGGGATACCGAGATAGTATCTCCTTTGTGATACTGCAAAAAAAAAGTATCAGTATCATATCCTAAAAAGATACTATACTGGATACGGTATCCAAAACAAGGATACCTAAAACCCTCGGGGTCCAGTATAGTATCTACTGTGGATACTTCAGATACTCGCGGGTATCCTCAGGTATCTGCAGATACCCAATAGTATCTTGAGCAGATACCAAGGATCTTTAGTATCTACATTTGGAAGAGTATCAGATACTAGTATCCAATTTCAAGATACAGTCAACTCTCGATATAAGCAAGCCCCATGTATGCATATCGCGATGTAAGCAAGGGTTGCCGCGCAATTTTTTTTGGTATACGTGAGTGCTCCGCCAAAATCAAATTGCTTGATGCATAATGATTAAAGCATAAGATTGGCGAAAATATGCTCTTATCGCGAGTTTTTCTCTGTGTATACAAGCATAAATCTCACAGGAAAGGAAAAATATGCTTTTATGGTGATTATTTGTGTGGTAAGTCCGACTGCTGGGCGGTACCATCAACAGTTGAAGCGCCCCGCCGCGCCCCGCTTTCGAGTCACTTTTTTGCAGCGGGACGTTGTCCCGCTACATGAGGGGACGCTCTTGCCCCGCTTTAAGTTGAGACCCGCTACGCGGGTTTAGCAGCGGTGCGCCATTTGGACCCGCTCTCGCCCCGCTTCATACTTTTCGAAGTCGAGAGAGTGGGACGAGGCGGTGACAAGTATATTCACAATTTTTTTTAAATATTGACAGAGAAACAATATGTACATAGACAAGAATAAAGGATAAGAACGAGTGACTTGAAATTATAACATAGATGAAAAGAGGAAAAAAAAGAACTTAAAAAAATTAAGGAGCGAATCGAAACATAAAAAAGCAATCAAAACAGACAATCAAAGGAAACAATTCAAGGAAACAATCAGAAAAATCATAAAGTGGAACAAACAAAGAGTGACTTGAAGAATATAAAGGGTAACTCGAGAAGATAGAAGGGAGAAAAGTTGAAAAAACTTGATAACATTGCCTAGTTTCATTTTTGAGTGTGATTTTTGAAAGAGGCAAGATAAGCAATTGCTTCTGAAAAGGCGTCTTCGGTTGTAATTCCGTATCTTAACCATTCCCGACAGCCCACAGCACGAGAGATAGTTTTGGGTTTTAGAGAACCCCGGGCAGGAACGGCGACATCGGCTGCTGAGGAGAAGACACGTTCTTCAGCGCACGAGGTAGCTGAGATACTGAGATAATCTCGCGCAATCTTCGCAAGAACCGGGTAATGACACCAGTTATCCTATTAAACATAAGAAACATTATAATTAGGTCAGTTAATAATCTTCATTTCTATATTGTGAGGAGAGATAACTTACACACCACCAAGACAGCTCGCTTTGGCCGGGGACAATTGGGTGGTTTCCCTGAAGGTATGAATCGAGTTCGGCTGAACGGATAGAGTCAGAAGTTTGAAAGGATGCAGTCGATGTGAAAACATCAAACTGATCAATTAATTCACCAGATGAAGAAGGAAAAGGAGTTGGGGAAGGACTGGGGGCCGGAGTAACAGGCCAATGATCAAGAGTGGCTTGGAAAATTCCTTCGATACATGTCCTAGCACGCAAGGCTTATTCTGGATAGTGCAGTTCAAAAAACTTGAGTCGATATCTTGGATTGAGGATGGTGACAACAACAATGACTTCGGCTGCCACAGCTTCGGTTCGGTATTTCTGAAGTTGGTGTGACATGGTATCAACCATGGTTCCTATGCTTGGGAAGTTGGTTGTGGCGCTGATATCAGAAAGGAGGTTCAATACTCGTAGATATTCGGCCAGAAGGATCGCACCCGTTGGGGTATTCCCCTCCATGCGCTTGGTCGAAAGACGAAAAACCTAGATGTTGACTTAACTGTCAGCTTTGTATTAAATCAATATGACAAAGATTGATGATGTTAGAAAGGCACTTACTTCAAGAACCTTGCATAGATTGTCCACTCCATCCCACTCATCCATTGTCATCATAAGACCTTGGTAGTACTTGGTTTTTCGATCAGCAATCAGAATCGAATCAACAACCTAGAAACATTTGTAGGTGAGTCAGTTCTATAAGAAAAAACAAAAAATGAGTATAAGACTAAGCGGACTTACATCTCGGCCAGCCACTAATCGAGAGAACATCTCCAAATCGATGTTCCATCGAACACCCCAGCCCGCAATTGGAGCTGGTCCATGGTAGCCCATCTGGGCCGCTCGAGCTTGGAACTTGCCTCGCCTCGCATTACTGCGAGTGAGAAGAGAATTGAATTCCTTCAACTACATCAAAAACATATATGTCAGTTATAAATATAAGTTAAATCGATGTTAGTAAAGAAAACTTAACATACCTTCAATGCACCTCGAACCACAACACAGCCATTGGTGGGAAGGTCTTCGTACGATGGATCATCATCCTTCTCGTTGTCTCCGGATTTTTCATGTCTTGTTCCGAATTCAGCTGGATCATCGACAGGGTCATCTTCATCGTCAGAGTCGTCAAGTTCAAGTTTGTTTTCGGACATGTCATCGTTTAGAATGATGGTTGGGACTGGGACTGAGACATTGGCAGGGGTGGTAGGCTTGATATGCCCAGCAGATAAACCTAAGACCTTAAGACCCTTCTTGACTGCTAAGCCCAGCTTGTGGGCGTAGCATCTGACATGATTTAGCGAGGAATCCCACTCGATCGCATCGTTGCCTTCGGAAAACATGATTTCCAATTCTCGGGCCATTGTGTTGTTAGAACTACCTGAATCAGTCGTCTGGCCTAGAAGGTAAACAATGCAATAATAAAAAAAATTAACTTATAAGAAAGAGAAAAGAAATAAGGAACAAGGTTGAAAGGGACCTATCTTTTTGTGCAAACTGTGTTTCATCAGGAACAGACCAACTGGTTTGGCTAAGAGGTAACCATACTTATTCCAGGCTATCAACTTCAAAGTGAGATGCAGCGTTCGAAATTGCCAGTTGTCATCGATGTAATTCGCCGATACACCAATGAATGCATAGTGATTCTCTTTAGTGGTCCAAACGTCATGGATCAAAGAGAATTTGCTGTTGTTGTTCTGTTCAATAAAATGAATGCCAGTAGGTGATAGTTGAACAGAAATGGAGGGAAATGTAGAGAGAAAAGAGACTGTACCTTGACCAGGGAGATAGCAGCCGAGCTTAAGCTACTGTACAAGTTCTTAGCCACCCCAGCAGCCCACGTTGGACTCCTCAAATTGGCTTGACGGTTGGCAAGCTTGAATGCGGCACGAAGAGGAGGATCGTAAAATTGATTGAAAGGGAGGGCGTGCAATAGGATCCACATCACCAGGACCGTATTGCACAGTTCTACATTGAAGGTGGTGCGACTTAAGAATGAATCAAGAGTTGGTTGACCGTTAGCCTCGTTTGATGCTGATTCAATGGCTCCTTGTTCTTGAGCCCACGAAGGAGGAAGTTGACAGCCAGCTTGGATGGCTCGTGATCGTCTAAGACAGGCAGATCGACCCTTGGCTCCGTCGCGGTGAGCATACAAGTTGTAGTGAGTGCGACAGCCACAGGTGAAGGTGACTTTGCACCACCGGCACTTGAACAAGCGAGGATCATCGCCATTCTACAAAACGAGACAATCAAAGGAATCAATAACTTTTTTTTTAGTAAAGAAAGATGAAATTTAGAACTTACTTCACCCTTTACATGAGTAGGAGGGTAGAAGTATTCCAACAGCTTGGAGACCCGTCCCAGTTGGGCACGGCGAACCCCTTCTGTTTGGACCACTTCGACATCGGAATCCTGATCAATATCGATACAGTCTGGAACCCCAGTCTGTAATATGAATCGAACCATGATAGTATGAGAAAAACTAGAAAAAGAGAAAGAGGAAGTTGGAAGGTACTTACAGGTGCAGCCACGACCTTCTTGGTCTTTGCCTTTTTTCCTGGGCCTTGACTCACAGTGACTGACGCACCAGAACCTCGAGGACGACGCTTCGCACGAGTCTTGCTAACCTTCACAATTTGAGTCGTATTCTTCTTTTTCTTGGGAATCTTCTCTAAGAAATCTTCAGCTTGATTAACCTCCACAACGGAGTCAGAGTCGGAACTGATGGTCTGAGCTGATTCGAAGGCACGACTATCAAAGTCGAGGTCGGAGTTGAGGCCATCGCTGGAAAGAGGACGTTGTACAGACACTCGTGAGTCAGGGGATTGGATGACAAAACCTGGCTTGGGACCAGTAGGACTGCGAGGGCGAAGAGTAGGACCTGTGTTGGTAGGAGGGACAAGAGTCAAGGTAGGAGGTGACATGGTATCAATGGAATCTATCAAAACTTCAAGACTACGAACAAAACCAGGAACAGTTGTAAGACGTGAGTTTTTTAAACGATTTAATGATGATATTCAAATTGAAAATAAGGAGACTTGAAAGTAAATATGGTGTATATTAATGTTACGATGATTTGATTGCTGATCGTGCGGGAAGGCGAGTTGAATGAAGATGGGTTCCTCTTATATGAATACGAAGCCTTGTTTTCACCGCTCCTGCTAAAAAAAAGACTCCAGAAGGTGAAATCCGGCGATCGGAAGGTCTGCATAAAAAGTTTGGGGTTGGTTGGGTTAGTTTGGTCTTCAAAGATGATATCAAGGTTAAAAAAAACTTACTAGATACTCCTTGAGTCGATGAGAAGGGCTAAGACATCGATTTGGGGTGTTTGTCGAGAATTTGGGTCCTCCAAATGTCGAGAAAATCTAGATTGAGGGGTTGAAAGGGTTCTTAGGCTCGTTCGATGTCGTCACGTTGGGTCGCAGGCGCCAAGATATGATCTGAGAGTGATGTCGCTGTCGGTATCTAGCATGATCATCTGACCATACCGCTACATACCGCTCTGAGCAAGGGCTGCGGGGCGTAAATGCACATCGCCCCGCCAATCTGACAACCCGCTACTACCCCAGTATTAGGGGTAGGGCGGTGGCGGGGCATTTTGACCCGCTACAAAAAAAATCCTCGAGCGGTGGCGGGGCGTACCGCCCCGCCACCGCCCCGCCACCGCTTTTTGGGGCGGATCGCTTCAACTGTTGGTACCATATTGACTCGGCGGGGCCGGGCTGGCTCCGCCCCGCTCAAAGCGGGGCTTATATTTGCGCGCCGGGGGCCCATTCTCACCATAAACGCATAATTCAAGCCAAAAAAGGGCAAAACTTGAATTATGCTTACTTTGTGATTATGCATCGCTCGATGTAAGCACAGCAAATCTGTCGACGGTCGATATGCTTACATTGAGAGTTGACTGTACTGTCTTTCAGCACCTGGGAGTATAGTATCTGGTTTCCAATACTAAGTATCTGGATACTATACTTTCAAAAAAGATACTATACTGCAAGATACTGATACTAGTATAGTAACTGTGGCAGTGTTGGTAAAACAGAGGCACATGATTTCTTGTTTTACACACATCATCACCTATCAAACCAAAAGCACAAGGCTAGGGCAAAATTCCACCTAAACATTCCGGTGTGTGTATCTCCCTGTCTTCAGACATTTTTCACAGCCTGAAAAGATTGTTGGAACATCAGCAACTTTTCTTGGAAATGTATCTCTACCAAATTAGGAAGCTGGAAAGTTGTAAAACTTTATAGCTCATGTTGAGAAGAAGAGTAAACCTCTGAAAAGAACTGGAATTATCACTCACTTCGACTGTGGACATAATTCATATCAAGATCATGTATTTTGTTGAAGCATTCATCAGTTTGGAAATAGCTCTTGCAGATTACATAGTGGATTGAGACATACATTGTTCCTGCGTTGAGAGCATTGCACCAATGAGTTGCAAACGAGTTTTCTTTTGGGGAACAAGCTGAAAAGGAAAATTTTAATGAGATGTTTTGCAAAAGCAATGGTGATCTATATATAGCTTACCATATCCAATACTTTTACCCCCACGGTAAACTCTTTCGTAATTGGCGCAGGCTACGTTTGGTTTGGCGCGTTCACCGCGGAAAAGTGTTCTGTCATTGGGGATGGCTATGTTTGGAAATGTTCCATTGGTGAACAGGCACCATTGCCCCGCTAATTTCCAGGAGATCATAAGAATTCAGTCAAGGAATTGCAGATGGCTAGTTTGAGACTTACTAGGTGGAACACCATGGCACTGGGAACATTGATGATTGATTTCAGTGCCTGGAACACCCCCAGAAACACATCCTAATTCAAGATGCAAGGCACTGTTAGATTGTAAATCTTAATAAAGCGGTTGCTCCTTTCAGCAATCTTACTCACGAGCTCTGTTGAGAGTCCCTGAATACAATTCTTGACATGTACTCGGACTCTGGGTGTTTGCGGAGTTGACTTTAGCGGTAATTGTGGACTTGAATCCCAGGGTAAGCAACACAAAAGTAATTTTGACTAGCATTATCTTGAAAGATTAGAGATACGTGAGGAGAGGATGATTGAGAGGAATTCAGGAAGTGAACGTATTATTATGCAGAATTATTTCAAACTAATTGGTCAGGATGGCAAATGAAATTAGGTGTTTAGATATCAAAGACAAAACAAAACAGGCAGCATTTATAGGAACAAGGGCTACTCCCCGAACATCACTTGCTCTACGATATCGGAGTCGGACGCCGACCGCCGGTGACCCTGCTCACAAGATTCACTGCCTACCTACAGACCTCGGCACGACATCACGCACGTGTACCTTGCATCAGTACGAGAGCACTCATTCGACGACGACAATTGCTGACAGAAGCTTGCTCAGGAGTCATCGATTCAGGAAAGAGATTGAGTCTCTGAGCATAACACTCCAGGAATCAAACTACACCCGGCCGCAAGGCAACTTACGCTCAAGATCCCAACAACCAAGATCAACAGTAACAACGCTCATTTTTGACGAGAAGGATTTAATTTGCAGACCATAGCATATTGGCTAGAACAAATTTTCATGGCCTTTACCTGAATCAGATGCATCCAAATGATACACTTTTTGAGATCATATGCCAGTGTTTCATAGCAAGAGTACAGGAGGTGATGGTCAACAGCGTTTGTTGTAGGTTTGATAATTGCAGAAATCCAATTTCTCAAAAAATAAAAAAAACAGGATCCCGGTAAAAACCGTGCCGTTTGACGCACCCAACTGTACATGTTTCGGGTGCTCAACTTTATACACCAGAGTTATTGTAGAGGTTTGGTGTTCCATCAGTTCCATCATAACAACGAAGGGAATTATTTCACATTAGACATACGAAATTGGTCAGTGCGATAAGGTGCGATATGTGAACTTTACAATATTTAGATAAAAAAAATAAAAAATAAAAAAAGAAGGGACCTCAACTCTGATTTTGGCCGATCTCACTGACGAACTATCGACGAGTCGAATTCAAACAACTCACAATGGCCGTACCATCATCTTCCAAAACATCAAAGTATGCTACTGAGATATCACAAATGGTATGCAGTTCTTGATCATCTTCTTGACTTATAACTTACTCATTTTTGCTTCTTGCTTTTCTAGTTGTTTGTCTTTGGGGAGGTCAAAGACCCCGATGAAGAAACAGTGAGATACATCGAGGATGTCGTACGATGTCAAGTAGCTGAACTTGTACGTTAACTTGAAAACTCACTGTCAATGCTTGAAGATTCTATAGATATCAAGTTCGACTTATTGCTCTTTCTCAGGTCATTCAAGCTAGAGCTTTAGCTCAACGACGAGGTTTACGAGTTCCGACTACAGAAGATCTAATCTTTCTTATTCGACACGATCGAGCAAAAGTAAATCGATTGAGAAATTATCTTGGATGGAAAGATGTTAGAAAGAAAGCAAAAGAAGATGGAACAGATGAAAAAGATATTGAATCCTTCGAAGCTGAATCAAATGGCCAAACAAATCGAATGAAATCTCAAAAGTTGAAATTAAAGATACCATGGGAACTCAGTACGATTTATACTGATATGTTGGTTGTAAATGAAGAAAACGAAGATGAAGAAGAAGATCAGGATGATAAGGAAGCCTATGAGGCTTCTGAAAAACGTTTACGAGTTGAGTCTTATAACTTTTTTTACTTACCTAGGCTTTCCAGATCTTAAGTACTCTTCATTGACGATGAACTCAACTTAGGAAGCCGATGAAATCACTCGACATATGACCAGGGAGGAATATCAGCACTATTCCGATTGTCGACAAGCTTCTTTTACGTATCGCAAAGGTTTGCTGAAACTTCCGCTCTTCACTTCACATCTGATGAACCTTCAATCGAAGTAGTTTCTGATAATCATGATTTTCCATTCAGCTAAACGTTTCCGAGAGTTTGTCGGTCTATCAAATTACATTGAAGGTAATCCGAAAGATGAAGTAGTAGATGTTCTAGGATTTCTCTCGTACGAAATGGTCAGATCCCTCTGTGAAAGAGGATTAGCAGTAAAACGTGATTACGAACTAGCAAGGATGGCAAGAGGTCAAGACTCAAAACCAAAACCAGAAATACACACAAGTCCATCAAAGAAAAAAAGAAGAGCGAACGGCACAGATGGACATGATGATGATTATGATGGATCAGAAGCCTACAAAAGACCTAAACCAAGTGGACCATTCTCAGGTCCTAGTACACCTCAACCTAATTTACCTTCATTTCTTACACCAAGTAGAGCTAGTTTCTTAGAAGATCCATTTGGAATCACAGATGAATCTACTGGAAAAGTCGCTGAGAAAGAAATTGAAGGAGGAAAAGTATCTGTACCCGAACCAACTCGTTCGCCTCTAAGAATTGCTGATGTAGAAGATGCTTATTCTATGATGCAGATGGGTAGAGTTAAAACAAAGACCAGTGCATTGAGAAATTTCACGGGTGGATTTGTAAGAAATAAAGTTAGCTTGATCTGAGTCAAAAATGCACATTGGTTTCTTTCAGTCTCAAATCCGTACCTCAACATTCTATCTATGTTTCTCCACGTCTCTAAGTGTATTGTACTTTTGCTCTCTGCATCTTGATTTCCTCCATGTACTCTGTTTTGTTTGAATTTATCAGTCATATGTTTTGTAATAAGTTTCTTCTTGAAAATCATTATAAACATTGTTCCATAGCATACTATCCAGATATGGATATCAATCGGTGTATGATATTGCCTATTCTCTGCAGATATCCAACAGACATCACATGCATAAGCTCGAATCAAAAAATCAGCGGGTTTCAAGGAACACGGCAGTAAACTCTGACGGTGTCTACAGTGAATTGGTGAAATGCTGCAAAAAACTTGAGAAAACATCACCGGCGTATGTGCGTACTGCATGTAAAATCGAGAGCCTTGAAGCTCCAACATTCATCTGTTCATCTTTGGAATGTACAAGCCCTATTGAGGAAGGGAATCGAGAATAAGTTAAAGTCTCACAACGTATAAAATACAAGTCTGCTCACACCACTTATATTCTTACAGATTTGAGATTTTCTTGGATATATCTTGTAGTACATGAGCGTTTTGTTGAATAGCTGGTAGTGAAACGATAATTTTTGAGACTTTCAAATAGCAAGAAGGGAGGGAATGATCGAAGGCAACCGTAATTCATTTGATCAGCCTATTCTCAAGGAAAATGCTCAAGTTGAAAAGTCTACCAGAACAAAGAATACTTTAATGTGACTCATTTCTCAGTTTGGGTTTTATTACTTTTCTCCAACAGTTGTGCGAAGAAAAAAACTAGACCCTCAGATCTTGGCTTCTATTTCAGTTTGATATTTCACTTTGACAAGAAACAAACACAGATAATTTTGATTGCATAGCTACCTAACCCACGTTGAACATGTGAATTCAAACAACAATAGCACATCATCAACACAATTTATGAATCATGTGAGTACTCAATCAATTTTAAATCATGCACTGCTCTTTCAAGTACTTGATTGCCTTATATGATCGCAAGTCAAGCAGATAGAGACAATGCGTTTCAATCCCTATTCGGAACTCATCAATAAGAACTTTTCATAACAAGATTTCTTTTCGTGCATATATTAATTGGAAGGTTAAGAACGACAACAAGATAGAAAATGAAGGTGGTTTTGTATGTTTTGGCATATGTTGTAAGGAGATACACGCAGTTATCAGATGAATGAGTCTACTTTTAGATCCCAATCACGGGTAAGCCTGATAAGTTGTCATCAAGCTTGTGCCGAAAAAATGCCCTATTGGGGAATAAAAAGGAAATATTAGCGTTGCAGAACTTCATGAGGAATGATAGAGATGATAAACGAGGAAAGATCAAGTACCATCATTGATGAACAGTCTCAGAGGCCGGAGCCGGAGCAGCTTTTTCGTTGCTTGGAGCGGGATGGGTGTTGACTGCTGGGCCGGCGGCCTGGGATTCTTCGGCTTTTCCTCGGTGTTCTGGAGTATTGTGTAATTCGGTTGGCTCATCTTCCCAGTCTTCCCAGTCTTCATTATCATAGTCGTCGTCGTAAAGGTCTTCGTCATCATATTCGTCATCAAACTCGTGTTCATCAGCCGAGTTGTGGTGAGACTCGGAAGTGGGAGCTGGTGCACCGTGCGGAGCATCAACGCCACTAGACTTAGTAGCAGCGTGTGGTTCTCGGCCGTAGATGCGTTCCGCTTCAGCTGAAGTTTGTTTGGTAACAGGATGAGCCGGTGCAGTAGCATAGTGAGATTCGCCCTGAGGATACTTCTCAGCTCCGTTGACGTTGGCCCGGCGAAGTTCTTCTTCTTGTCTAAGACGGAAAGCTTCTCTATCGTGAGCTTGTTTCTCTTGAACGTGGCTCACAAGGGCTTTATGATCTTCTGGAGAAAGGATCGATATAAGACCCTCGAGTAGTCCTTCGGTTCGGTGAAGTCGTTGGTTAAGCATTTGGTTGTGCTCGCTGAGAACGTGGTTTTGATTCGCGAGATTTCGAATAGCATGGGTGACTTCTTGAGGCCAAACTGCTCGTTGGGCATTGATTCTTTTGATGATGTCAACATACTTTTCACGGACGATAGGATGGGATTTGAAGTAGTTGTCGACAGCTTGTCCAAATCCGCGTCGGGTTTCCGGGGTCAACGTTCTCTTTTGCTCAACGACAGCCGCGATGAGGTTTAAGTGTTCACTTAGACTTTTGGCTGATGGGTCTTGTTCATTACCCTCAGATATCAATTCGGCGGTTTGTCGAACAATGTTAGAATTCAAAGATTCGGGCGTTGAATGGTGTACAAGAAGCATGGAAGCCAAGCGGTTGCTGATATCCTGAGCACGCTTCGAAGGGTCTTGGTATCTTTCCCTGTAAGCTGTTGTACTTTGGGCGAGGTTTTCGGGAACGCGAATTCGCTCGGAAGCAGCCGGAGATTGTGCCATTAAGTGCGCAGGTGGTGGGTTACCCGATGCCCCTTGCACAAATTTCCCATCAGCGTAAGCAGAGTGAGGTGCCTCTGCGAGCTTTTCACCTTCCATCAAAGGGCTAGCTGCCGCCGCGGCGAACATGGCAGCAAGGGTGATAACAGCGACGTTGAGTTTCATGATAGGCTTTCAGAAAATGATCACGGAAAGATATTGAAGAATTTTACTCGAGAGAAGCGAGTGAGATATAACGAGGGTGTGAATATCAACGATAGTAAAGCTTTGAACGAAAGAGTGGTTGATTGTTTGCTCTAATCGAAATTGTGCGAATCTCAAGAAGGAAATTTTGAGCTGGAGAAACAAGTGTGGGCCTACCAGGCGATGTGTTTTTATAGTCACCAAGAAACACTTCATTGAGCTTCATTGCCACTAAATCTATAATCTGACGCTATCTTTCACGCTTGATGATTTGTCAGAGAAATTGAACATCAAGGCCGATCGCCAATCTTGTTTCAAGTCAGAACCTACCCCTGTATAGAAAAACTTTTATGCCGTGTTGTGCCGTGCTGCAGGCAATTGCGATCAAGCATCAAACTCAGTCATGATGATGATTACCGTTATACATACGCGCTGAAAACGCTTTCCAGCCGTTCAGTGGCAAACTCTGATTTCAGGCCAATTTGGAGATGGCACGAGTCAGGAATAAAGATAATGGCATATCTGGACCTCATACCCAATGAATCATGATTCAAAACCAGAAACTTGAAATGACTATACTTCCAATGCTGCAAAGATGAATGATAATACTATCAATTCAGTATGTTGCCTTCGAGGTAGCATAAGAGGTATATAATTGAAATTGTGTGTTTGCCAGATAGCATACGCAGAAATGTAAGAACGACGATCGATTGAGGCGGGTCCAGTCTACACGAGTAAGTAGGTGAGATCTCCACGTAGACATCTTGAAGTTTAATCTCAGCGAAGATGCTTGCGCAAAATGGTTGTTCTCATCATCAATTCAACAGTACAAATTATATCATGCCGCAAAACACCGCAAGAAAGACTTGTCATGATCTTTCTGCGGGCTCCTGAAATGCTGATAGCAATGGTTGAGTCACGATCGTGTTAAGATCTTTGAAAGTGTCCACCTCTTCATCATAACACTTCATTGGTGATAACAGTTGACGTGAACTATATCAGTCTAAAACGTGTGTAAGGAGATGTAAGGCATAGTACCACCGCTGGAAGGGCTCTTCTTGATGGCCCACCGCTGACTACGCTGATTACAAGTCTCGCCGATGCTGCAGACTACAATTGGGGGCTGTACCTACCGCTTCGGCTTGTGGTTAGACAAGCAGGCAGGTATATTGAATACTTAGTTTCACCTGCGTGTAAGTAATTTGAAGAAGAAAGCTAACGATAAAATCGAATTTTGCGTTACACCATACCTGCGTGTCCGTATTAGACGACAAGAGGTCTGTCGCACCACTTGGAACTCAAAGTTGTAGCTTGACATAGATCTCGAAGAAATTGCTAGAATCTTCACGCGAGATGCAGCGTCCTATGTATGCTGGATAGCTCTCAAGCTCAAATTACGTGAGGCGGCCACACAAGAGTAAGACACCTGACTCAAGAATCGACTGGCTTTGCGACCATTACTCTGTATGCATCATTATCACCTAGGTACAACTATAGAATGCTGATGGTTTTCCATCTGATAGGCAAAAAGACATTGAAATGTGCAAAGATTATGATCACAAAGAAACTACTGCAACAAAAGGCAACAAATGATTCTGAACAATCTCATTTGTTTTGACTATAATTTCCTCTTATTGCATTTTCCTCCCTGAACACTTGCCTGTATCATCTACCCTGAACTCAGCAGTGTGTTGTTGTTTCTGCTAAATCACGAGTATCTCATTAGTTGGTCTCCTCTTCTCCTATATATTCAATCTATAATTTTACAGAGGAGACTATGATGTGGGATTGTGCTTTGTAGATCAGGTTTTGTTGACATCATGGATGCTATGACAGTTGGTGTGGACCTTGTCAATAACACGGAGAGTTTTTAGACAAACCTCAACATATTTTAGCTGTATTCAGACTGAGACTGTTATTGAGCACCCTTTATGAACAATGATTGAGTTACAGGATTTGTGGAACCCTTTGTCAGAAGCTGGGGTCAACTGAGTGTCAATGTCCCAGGTGATAGGGGGAAGATGTGCCCATTATGGAACCTCTTCAAAGCTTCTTTTGAGGGTCTAAGAAAAGTCCTTTGTATGTGCACATTGATGTGCTACAAGGATACTGACATGGTGGTAACTTATGGCAAGTTGTTCCTTGTGGAATGTTAGTGATTAAACAACTACACACCACCCATCACTTGCCCCAAAGCCATCTGTAAAAGGCCTTAAAATGGTCTTTTAAGCAAGGCAATACACTGCCTATTGCTTGCCCCAAACCCCTCTGCAACTGGTCTGCAGATTGTCTTTAAAGGATGTTTGTTACCCAAGCCTGCCCTCAAACTTTCTGCAGGAGGTCTGGACTGTGCAGATGGTCATTCGGTGATTAGACATTTCCAGCAGAAGATCAGATTGTATCACCCTCAAAAACTCAATAGAAGGCTGAGACATCAATAGCTTTATATCAGTGCTTGGTCTTTTGATCTTTGAGGACAATTGTGACTTGCCAATTCCTCATGACCAACTCATCAATCTCATCTTTCCTTCTGACACCTTCATCCCACCTCAAATTTATTTCTACATATCAGGCAATTTTCAACAGCTTTGGTGTGAGAAGCTCAACAATCTGGTAACATGGGTAGTTTTAAATGTCTTCCTCTACTTACCTTCCATAAGCTGACCACTACCAATTATGACCATCAAGTCATCTTCTTATCTGTTTTGAAACAATTAATTGTCCCCCAGGGCATATGATTTCAAATGTGCTTAAATCTTGATGTCATCAATTCTGACTTGATATTATTTTGACTTGTTAAAATCATAAAAGTTTGAAAAATCAAGATGTGAGATGTGTTTATTTTTAATTTCTCTTTACTTTGCCTTTTACCACTGCCTTTTACTCATGACATCATAGTTTTACTTTTTCTCAATTGCTGTTGACCACAACTCACTCTATCTAGCATTTTGCTGACCATTCTCCATAAATTTCAATACTTCAATATCCTCTTCTCTAGCTGCTCATTGATCTATTCTTCTGAAATCTAGCTGCCAATTGGTCTACTCTTTGCCATCTAACATCTGTCTACAGAGTCCAGACCATACTTTCTAAACAGCCTATAGGCCAACATCCCACTGCTGTGCAATAGTCTGTCAGTCTTTTAACCCACCACCAGATCTTCTGTTACAAGAAAAGAGAAAAAAAGTTCTCAAAGCAAGTACAAAATCTCAAAAAAAGTAAATCATATTCTACTCTTATGTGTTCAACAAGAAAGAAGCAAGAAAAGACCAACCATTAGTGAACCCCCTCAAAAAAACTTACAAGGCTTCTCTTGGGTATATAATAGATTTGATCTGCAAAGCAGAATGAAAAGAATTGGTTTCTGATTTGTTTAAAGTTTAAAGTTAAGTAAGATTGGATCAGATTATTTTAAACATTAAGTAATCACTATCTTTTCTTGTAATAATCTTTTACCACTTTCTAGGTCTGATAATCTTTTTTACTTCCTTCCACTCTACTCAAGTAACTTCTTAAAGCTGGTATAATTTCATTCTTTTCACTTTCAATTTATACTGTTCTCTGTGTTTGGTTTGTGGTCAAATATTTCATCCAAGCTTTTTCACTCCCATCAAACAAACAAACCCACAAAACAAACCCTATATAGACTCATTCACTCCTTTTTTCTAATAAGTATGATATAAAACCTAAATCATAAATTGTACAAAATCAAAATATACTCAAAAAAAATCAAATCTTAGTACCCTAAGAAACTCTTTATAAGAACACGTCTTGAGTTTAAAAACCAAAAAAAAACCTTCAATCAATAATTTATAACATTTTAATTAATTTTCTTCATAATCCAACCAAAAGAATCAATCATTCCTAGTTTTTTTGGTTGATTGTACAAACCCTTTCAAAGATAAAATTTACAAGTTTTAAAGAGTTTTAGAATTTCCTTTTTCTCTTTCTTCACATCACTCTTTTTACAATCAAACCCCCCTGCCAAAAAAGAACCCCGCTTCCGCTTTCTTCTTTTGCTCTTGATTTCAATCTTCTTCATTTAAAATCATCTTGTTCATCCCATCCATTTTCCATACCTATACTCACACCTAAATCTTCTTCTCCAACTGGTACCATTTGCATCGAATATTGAATTTGTTGTTGATGAAGAAACTGTTGTTGAGCCGATCCAGAATGAGTATCTAAATTCCCACCTACTCCTACACCTACTCCAGATCCAATCGGTTTTTCCATCTCTTTTAATTCTTTTAAAGTTTTCTTTAAATAATCTGGATTCCTTTCAATACTAAATTCGATTTCTTTCATCTGACTTTCAAATCTTTTAATCCTTTGAATGATTAAATTCAAATTCATTAAACTCTTTTCAGAATCATTTATGAATTCTAAGATTCCTTCTTCTTGATTTTCAGTTTCAGTTGGGATGATTCTAGCATGAATTTCTCGATTCGTAATCATAGATTGAATTAATTCAATCGTTTTGAATTCTTCAGAAGTTTGGTTTAAGATCTTACTGATCGTTTTGATCGGAATCGATTTATAAATCGGAATTAAATTTAAGATTTTCTTACGTGGTAAAACTTCAATACAAAGTTTAACCAATCCATAATTCCGATCCTATTGCCCGTCCCACCAAAAGAAAAATCAATCAGTACCCCCTCCCCCGACGAAAAAGAAAAAATCATTCAACTAACCTGTAAAAAAACATTAAGATTCTTTTCCACAAACCCCAACAATTTCTCATCTTCAAAACCACCAGTTGTACTATTGTTAATAGAAGAATGAATAGACTGTAAAAAAAGATGAACAAATTCGAAATAAAGTTTTCCGATTTTTGAAAAATAAGACTTAAATTGAGAATTCAAATATTTAGGTAATTCAGGTGATTTAGCTTCGGATAATAAACTGATTAAAATTAATTTTTTGTAAGCTTCGATTTGGATTTGAGAAATAAATGAACCTGGTGCTGAAACCGTCTTGAAGAAAACATCAAAACAAAATCAAAACAAAATCAGTTTGTTTGGTGTTGTTTTGTTTTAATTTGATCGTTTTGGAGGGATTTCTGTTGAAGGATTTCTCTTTTTTTCGTGATGGATGAAAACTTACGATTGTAAGTAATTGAATCGAACGTTTATAATTTCGATTTAAAGCTTGAATAATCCCAGCAAAATAATGATAAATCAAATGATCTTGATAATCAATTGGATGATTCTTAAAACCGCCCCAAAAAAAAACTCAATAAGTAAAAAGAAATGATTTGATCTTATCAACAACAAAGAAAGAATGAAAAAAACGTACCTTACGATTAACCTTAACCAAATCAACACCAGAAACCTCAATAGCTCTCCTCCACTCACCACAAAACAAACAAACCTATTCAAAAAAAAAATCAGAAAAAGCTTGTCTGAAAAGAATCGAAAGAAGAGGAAGGAAATAACCTTCATAAACAAAGAATGTAAAGCACTCAAAACCTCTTGATCTTCATTCTTTTTAATTAACCAATAAATCGGTTCTACACTTTTCCAAAGTAATTTATATCGATCATAAAAATCAATTAAACTTTTAACAAAACTTTTAACTTGTTAACAAACCCCCCCAAAAAAGAAAACCATATCAACTTTTATATAGGGTGGTGGTTTTTTTTAGTTTTGGGGAGAAGGCTCTTACGATCGAGTGATAGTTTGGTTAATTGGTCTTCAGGTATCTTGGAACAAAACTTATTTATATGATCCAACATACTTTCTAAAGATTTAAATTTACCAAAAACAAGTCTCATAGACCTATATATACAACCCAAAAAAACAAAAAAAGAAGTAAAAAAAAACACGTGAAGTTTAATCAGTGATCTCGAATTCTCAAAATCTCAAAGAACTTTTGCAAACTTACAGTATTACAAAATACCCAAACCCATGAATCTCAGCGTCCAAAACCTCATCTAAAACATCTACTTCTCCTTCTGGACTATCTTCAGATAAACAAATCAAAACCTCTGGTTTAATTTTTTTAAGTGTTTCTAAATAATTTATATCTATTGAATTTTCTTTAGATAAAATTAATTCGATTAAAGAAGATGTTGATGATCTTGGTATAGGTTGGTTTGGATTTGGTGTGGTTTGATTGTTTTGGTTGTTTGATTCGTTGGTCATGTTGGGATTGGTTTCATTGGTCATTTTGAAGTTGAAAGTTAAAGTTGAAAGTTGTTGAAAGTGGAACGAGGCCTTGAGTTCAAAGGTAATTTCAACACTTTCCTGTATTCTCACACCCCCTTAAGATAACTTAAACAGACCTTATGACTTAAGCTCAAAGTCTTACCCTGTGAAAATCCAATCTTACCAACCTTATCATCCATCCAAACACTCACTTCTGATCCTTTCATTCTTAATCATTCAAAGAATAATAAATACCATTCACAAAATCAAAAACTTTTTGTTTCAATAAAAAAGTTGTTTTTTCATTTTTCATTTTTTTTTCTTACTTTTCTCTTAACGATTAACTCAAAAAAACACAAAACAGTATAAAACCAAAGAAAAAAAAATGTCATTATCATCTTCTTTTCATCTTTTTCATTTTTAGTGTTTGTAAATAATAAATGAGAAAAAAAAATCAAAAAAAAAAAATCAAAAGAAAAAGAAGGGTGATATTGAATTTCACTTCTACTTCTTCTTCACTTCTAAAGAATCTAAAATCTAAAACCCTTTCACTCATCACTCAAAAAAAAGTCAGAGACCCAAACCCAACTCTTAGAACCAAACCCATCTTCTCCCATTCTCCCATCCCATCACATCTCCAAAAAACCCAAGCCAAAGAATCTCTCAAACAATCCATAAATCAACCACCAAACTCAAGAAGCGTTTAACAACCCCAACTTCTTCAGTAGAAACAATACATTCAAACCTTTCCACAATCTCCTGAGCCTGATCCAATCCAATCCAATCTTGTAAAAAAAATCTTCCACTTCCCTGATTCTTCATCCGACGATCATCATTCTTTTCACTTTCTTCTTCAATAATCTTTTCGATTTCTTCTTCTTCAATCTTTAAGATTCCAATCAAAGAAGGTAAACTATTAAACAAAAGAAAACACCAAAAATCAATCACTTGAACTTTTTTTAAATGACTTTTTTTGGAAGAGAAGAAAAAGAACTCAACTGAACCAAATCATCTTCAATCCTTCTAATCAAAACCCAATCATTCCCAAACTTACGTGTCCTAAACGGTTTAAAATCCATCATCAAACTCAACTTCAAAACATAAACCTCACCAATCTGAGAATCCAAAACAGATTTCCAAATCTTCATCATCTTTAAACTTGTTGTCGTCCTACTACTTGATTCTTCTGAAATCATAAACTTTTTAGGTTTAGATGCTGAAGTCAAGAATTCTGATGAACTTAATGATGATGATAAACCAGTAATGGTAGTCATGGGTTCTTCTTCTTTGATTTGAATGTCGGATTCTTTTGGATTACTTGTGGGTTTAAGGTCTGGTTCAATATGATTAGTTTGATTCCATACCTCATCTAATTCTTCTAATGCAATATCATCCTCTCCTTCAACAACCACCAATTCTTCATCGGATTCGATTCCATCAAATGAAAAAGCATGTTCATGATGATGTGAGACATCAAATGATAATAAAGGTGAAAGTGGTGAAGACATCATAGGTGGTAATGAACAACTTCGAATAGATGATGATGATAATGATGATGATCTATGATCCAAGTTTTCAACCAAATCAAGTTTAAGTCGTTTAAGAATCCTTTCTTGTCCTTCTTCATCTAATTCATACGTCTTTCGAATTCGATTTCGATTCAAATCGGATTCAGATTCACTTTCAGATCCACTACTTAACATCGGTTTACATTCACTTTCATCTTCTGATAAACTTTCTTCAAGTTCATCAAACGATGATTCTCCTCGGGTTTCACAAAGTGATGTGAAGCCTAGTTTATCAGCTAAAGAAGTTAAGGATTGATCTAATGCTGCTTGGGGTCGGTCTGGTGGTCTTTCAACCATGATGGGTTCTTCATTCAAGTCATCAAAGATTGATGGTACTTGCTCGATCAACGTGATAGGTTCTGTCAACATCATCCAAGAAAAATGTCAGAGCAATGAATCCAAAAAAAATCTGGCTGATGAAAAATGACGTACCGGTGATGATAGAAGAATCCAAATCAACCAAAGCTTGTGGATCATCACGAAAGTTGATCAAACTAGGACCACCCATTCCAATCCTCTGATCTTCATTCGAAACAATCCTTTCAACTTCTGAATTCCCCATCTCAACTTCATCCTCTAATAGCGTCACATTCAAATCTTGATTCGAACCAAATCCCATCTGATTCGAAACCCATTTACCACTCTTGGTCCTTTCTCTTCTCCAATGATGAGTTTCATCTTCTTTGGAATAAGACAGATTGGCTTCTCCCTCAAGGATTCCAACTCCTGAGACTCGACGAGAATGAATCAAAGAAAAAGATCTAGGCGTATTGAAATTCGAATCCTCACCTCCTTCATCACTCTTCCTTCTTTCCCGCCATCGATCCCATTCATCTGTCCTACTGACCATCATCTCGGCATAATCTTCCGGTTCGGCTGAGAGCCTACTATCACTATCTTCTTCTTCATCTGATTCGATTTCTTCAATCTCTTCAATTTCCTTTTCTTCCCTTCTAACCATCAGAATTCCAGATTCTCGACTACTACTCTTCACAGCCGGCCAAAGCTCATGATCTACCAACATTCCATCTTCTTCGGTGGTAGTCTTGTTGTTAGCTTTCAAATCTTCTTCTCTCGAATGATTCGGTTCATCTGTTTTATTAAAACTTCCAAACAAGGGTGGATAAAAAGTTGAAAAGATGGATGATAATCTTTGAGTTCTTGGATTAGTCTTGTAACACAAATTCTTGGGTTTTCGTCGATGGATCGATGAAGGTCTGATCAAACCTTGAAAAACTTCGATTGATTTTGTATGATCATCTGATGATTCACTTGATTGATCTGAATCTGATGTATGACCACAAGAAGCCGGAGAGAGTGATAACAGATTAGGTTTCTCTTCTTCAATTGTTTCTGGTGTGAGTGAGGTTCGATTAGGATTAAGTTTAATGTTCACTCGAAGATTAGAGGATCGATAAGGTGTGGTTGAAGTGGAAGGGATCGGTTCATGAGACGAGTTTGTAGAAGTATCATTCTGAAGTGAAGCACCACTCCATTTCAATTTGATCTTCATTCCGGTAGATTGAGTATGATTAGAAGGTTGAGGTGAAGTAGGCGTCAGATTAGGTGTGGCAAGAGGAGTCGGATTAGAACTGGTAGGAATCGAGATCGGATTCAAGGTGTTGGTGTTTGGATTCTTGGGTTTACGTTTGACACCTTTTTCGGGTACACCTTCAAAAGGATCAAGGAAACCGGTAGAGAGAGGATTCAAGAACCAAAGTGTCGAACGTTTAACGGTTGGTTTAGCTTCTGATTTGATTCCCATACATCTTCCCTCAGCCAAAGAGGGAGCCGAGACAAGATGATAGAAAGCCAATAAAGGAACTTTTTCACTAAGTTTTGAACGACGTAAATGATTCCTGATCGAAGCTGAGACAGCACCAAAAGGCTGACTGGTACTGTGAATTGAATTGGATTTAGGGAAACCAAAGAGAGAGAGAAACAAAAGATGAAGATAAGTTTGAGTGATTCAAGAAAGAGTGTTTGATATGAGATTATAAAAGAAGTTGAACAGAACAGTTTGATGTGTATGATCGTAAGTAATTGGTTTTATAGAGATGGATAAAGAAGAGTTTTAGTGGGATTGGGGTTAGTTTGTAATTTTTAAAAAATAAAGACTCAGGTTTTAGAATCTGTATAAAACACACAGAGAGAGAGAGAGAGAGATACGAAAGAGTGTTTGATGGATTAAATTGGGTGTGAAGGTGTCTGTGTGGGGTGTTAATGGAAAGAAGAAAGATGAAGAATTGTGAAAGAGAAGATAGGGAAAATGAAAAAAAAAAAAAATCAAGATGAAATGAAAACTGTATGTAGAGTAGATTGAATGAATCCTTGAAATGAATATACAATGTAGAATTGTATGTAAGGGGTGTTTCTTCTTTCTTAGTTCATCTCGTGTTTTGTTTACCTAAATTAAACTGGTGGTCTAGTAAATCGCTTTAAAATCAATCAATAGTATACAATCACATATAGAATACGAAATCGAAGTAAAATAAAATAGAAAATGGAATAAAATGTAAAATGTAGAGAAAAAGGAAGGAAGAAAAGAGAGAGAAAGATTACATACGAAGGAGGAATAGCCCAATGTTGAAGATGAAAGATGACTTGAGCGATTTCTTTTGGACAAAGTGCTCTATTCTTAACGGAGATGAAGGCAGCACAGATAGCCATGAGTAGTGGATCAGATCGATCATCTTCTTGAATCAAAAGATCATTTGGTGGCCAAAATGATGAAAAGTGATTTGGATCGATTTTCGTAGTGGATTGGTGTTGTTGAGTTTGATGATGAGTAGGATGAATCGAATGATGATGATCAAGAGATTGAATAGGATTGAATTGATTAAGAGTAGTAAGTGAATCAAATTCAATCAATGGATTATTACTACTTGAACTCATCAAGAGTAAAGAATCAGATCACGAAAATGATAATAATAATAATAATAATAATAAGAATGGAAAGAAATAATCAAAGGTTTTTAAGGACTTGAAATCAAATGGTGTTGTAAATGAAGTGTTTTAAATTACTTTTTTGATGGATGAAAGAAAGCTGATTGACTGATGATAAAGTAAACTAAATTTTGATTTTCTTTGAATAACTAATCGATGGTAGAACTTAAAAGCTGACTTGATGATGATGAAGGAGATTTTCGAATTTGATTTTTAATTTTTTTAATTTTTTTCTAATTTTTTAGTGTGAATTTACCCATCCAATCAATTCAAGATTTACAATTCATCATCCATCAAGTTTCATCAAAACCCACTTCAACAACATTTTAATTTCAATTTCACACAATCTGTCACTCAATTCATTTCAAAATCAAACAAAAAGAAGTTTAAAGATTCCAAGGGAATTCAATACAATCTAGATAGAACTACCCACCACCACTTCACTTTTCACTTTTCACTTCACTTTACAAATCATATGATCAGTCAATCTCTTCACACACTTTATTCATTCTTTTGGATTGTAAAGACCAAGAAGTTTCTGAATGTAAGCTCTTTTGAAGTTATTTTTAGTTCAATGACCATGAAAGATTTCATTTAGAATCAATCACATCCACCTTTCAAAAAACTTGTGTTTGTTTTGTTTACCATGTATATCAATTCTTGGACCTCTAGTCAAATGATCCTTGCTCAATATGTACATCATGAAAATGAGTATATTCCAAGTTCAAGGAATCTTTCTCAAACTGATTTTGGGTAAATCCGAATAGATCTTACGACAAAAAATCTATAAACCTTACATACTTATTCAAAGTCATTCAAGACTTTTTATATTCAAACAATCAACCACAACAAAAAAAGGTTATGTTTAATAAAGGATTTCTGGTTAAAAGAAAAAGAATAAGTTATTTGATTTAAAAAAAATGAAGACTGGTTACATAATACTATTACAACCATAGAATACGAAGTTAGAAAACAAGTTGGATGTGTATACAAGATGTATGGTCATCTTTTTTTTTGGTAAATGAGTAATACGAAAAGGAAGTAGGAAAATCGTACTACAAGAATAGGTTACAAGAGGTTCCAATAGAGAATAAAATACATACAAATAATCCAACCTTTCAACTGTAAACCTTCCAAATTTGATTTTAAGTGAAAGAGAAAGAGTCAAGCAGAAGTCAAAAGCAACGAATCCTAAGAATTAGTAGTCGGAAGAGACCAAGACCTAACCTTACAAAACCGAAGATGAGCCGAACCAGATAACCGTTTAACCAATTCAATACATACATCACATTTGATATCATTAAGGGTACTCAAAGTTCGGTTAAAAGTATTTGGTTTAGGTTTAGATTAGCTCTTGAATTCCATACAATTCTTTTGAGTCGGGTTAAGGATCGGTTCCAAAACTTGATCAGTTCGGTGGGGTTACAGTGGGTCGGATGGTGTGGTTCGTAGATCGGAAGGGTTAGGGTGTCTAGGATATCACGAGCTTGGATTCTTCGAAACGAATGAAGTTCGTTCTAGAGATTTTCGAAACCACAAAGCCAAAATGGTCAATTGATTGATTATATGATTGAAAGGAATGGAATGGAAAATTGATTTATTTACTAATGCGTTGAAAGCTTCAATGGAAAGAAGACATTTATGGATAGGTAAATTGATGTCTAATGATAATGTATATTCAGATGCTAATCTAGCCATCCAATCATATTCATAAATTTCTGCTAGAGCGAAAACTTGAATAGGTTTGGTTTTGTAGTATGTTCTGGATAGGAAGATAGAAAATTGTAAAGTCAAATGGTGATCGTCATCAGTGAGGAGATCATCAGTCTGATTCTGACTCTGATTCTGACTTTGAGGGACGATGAAGAATTGTTCTGCTTACCCTATTGCAAGTAAACAAAGTCGTTCAACCTTGGCGAGTTCTTCTCTGCTTGCCACAGCTTCTAATGCACTCACTGTAAGAAAAGTAAACAAACAAGTTTCAGTTCAAGAAGAAGATCAGAAGACGTCCTAGACAAAGCCAAGAAAAAGATCAAACATACCTAGCTGATCAAATGTATAAATAGTCAAATCAGGTTTCATCTTCAAATCAAGACACAATAAAATAATTTCAATCACTTCTTTAGTTTGATTAAGTTTGATTAAAGGAAATTCAAAATCGATTGAGATAGGATGATGAGATGAGATAAGTTCATGAGCTTGTAATGAATCAAATCGACTTGAACAAATTGCAAATCTACATGAAATTAAATCAGATGAGCATAAGATTATATCTACGCCTGGTGTGGTGAGTGGATAGGATGGATGATAGTATGGTGCTTGGATGGGTGGTAATGTATGGGTTGGTTCGGTTTGTGGGTTTGGGGGTTGGGTTGAGTTGTTCATTGAGGTCATTAATGTGATAGAAGACATTTTTGAGGTTTCAATGATTTGATTTGAGAATGTTATTCCGAGAATCGATTTTAAAGATTTATTAATCTGTTAATCAAGATGAAGAATCAAGACTGGAGGGGAAAGACGAGAACAGGTTTATAAGATCAAAAGTGATGAGGTCATCAAGCTTCACACATCCACGCGAATCGAGTGTATCGTCGTATCCTTGTCAAGAAGCCAATTGAGAAACTTTTCTCCGCCCTTGAACCTGAAAATTCATCAAGAGTACTCATACCAAAGTGTTGAATCGATCAGTTTGATACAACCTTTTGGAATGTGATCAATTGAACTTCAAAATGACCTGAATTCTTTACTTTGGCCTGATGAACTTTTACACAAAAAAATCACGCGATACTTTGTAAATGAGTCGGAAGCATATATCGATATGTATCTAGATGGACTGTGTTAGGCTTTTGAGGACCCTTTTTGAAGAGCTTGATCGTCGCGATGGAATTTCTTTGTATGCGCTTAAACTCATCACATTCATGGATTGACAATTCGAGAGCTTTGTTCATCTTGGCCGATAAGGATCCATCAAAAAGATCAATCACTTCATCAGACCCTTCATATAGAATGATAGAATTGGGATCAATCAAATCTGACCAGTACAAAATGGGTACATTATTCTAGGCACAATCTTCATTGGAGGTGATGTTAAAGTCTTGCAACCATCACCAAAATTCAAACTCCAGACAACTTTCATCTTCGGCAAGTCAAATTCATATGGCCCCATGATCATCACTATGTAAACAAAGCCATGTGGATCTAAAGTAATCAATCTTCTGTGTACAGCCCTTTGCAGAATTGATGACTTTGGAAAAAGAGAAAACACTTGAGTTTTCAAAAAAAACCTGCGAGTTTTTTTCAAAAACTCATCGAGTTTTTCAAAAACTCATCGAGCTCTTTCTCTTTTAGAATTACTGGGCCAGGTTTCCAAAAAAAACTCACTGACTTTTTGACAAAACTCGGTCACTTTCCAAAAAAACTCGAGGTTTTTTATTCGAAAACTCGAGGTTTTTTTTCTTCAAAGTCATCAATTATGCAAAGGGCTGTATGTTTATGTAGGTTTTTCTCCAGTTAGTAGGACCTAGAGAAGTCTGAGTGTTATGATTTCAAATGGTGTCTACAAACAGTGGATGTTCTTACCCTTTATTTAGCTAATTCTAAAGCTCAAGTCAAATCTGAAAGGTTTGATATTCACTTCTTTTGATAGGTCTCCTTTCACAAAGCTCTAATGTCAATAGATTGCTTGAAGATTAGAAATTCAAATATCATAGGAAATTGACAGAAATCAAGATGATCAATGGTTCAATATCTCATTCACTTCATCATCACTTGTAATGTAAGCATGGTCAAAAAGCTCAAATGTCCAGTTAACTTCAATCCCAGAAGTCTATCCCAAAGGAACCTGCTCATGACCATGTTGAAAAACTTGGTGTGAATCATTGAGAATGGATTGTCATCAACAATTATCAAGAGGATCATACATATGTGAAGTAGTGAAAAATGTTGTAACTGAAAATTGTTTGGGAGTAAGTTCAACTGTATTTAATTTAAACCTCTCTTCTCAAAGTATCTTTCTGATTTCTTTCTTCTTTTATTTGTTTTTTTAAATGACTGAAAATAAAACTAAAAATAACAAAGATATGTATTGTGATCAATCAACCAAAAAAAGTATTAACTTGATTTTTAAAATGTGCTAATGACTCTGATTGTAATGAAAAAATGTAGAGAATAATATGTAATTTGATATGTATTTCAATTTAAGAATTATAATAATGGTTCTAGAATTTTAATAAGAGGTTTGGGTTTAATATTTGTTTGTATTTTTTTTGATTGTTCTAATTAAAACATAAAAAAATTAATCCAAATGGTGAATCTAAACCTATGTGTACTATAATGAAAATGATGAAAAATTGATTTTTGGCTTTAAAAATGAACTAAATGAAAAATTAAATGAGTCATAAAATTGATTTAAGATATGTTGGAGTGTGAAGTTATAATAGGGCAGTTCAAGTTTGAGATTCCGAGCAGTTGAAAAAAAGGAAGCGAGCAGGTTTTTAAAGACACAAGCACGCGTAAAAAGCCTGCTCGAATTCCTTAAAATGTCGTAAATATAAGTTACAACACCTTTGAGACAAAGGCACAAATGAGTCCAACAGACATTTTTTTTTGCCAATGCTCAATGATCAACCATGAAACCTCAATCTCTCTCCACTGGTACAGGGATCGGACTCAGAGCCAACTTGATTTCTGAGTGAAGAGGCTCCACATCTCAGCCTTACATCATCATCATCATCATCTTGGACCAGAACACCAATCGAAGTAAATCAAACCTCTCCTACCTGAACCATCTCGAATCAGTTCGATGCCTCGAATGTCAGAACGAGCAAAGACGCTCCGTGATCTCACTGACCTGTGTATCTTTGCACACGCGGAATCGCCCCTTTCACTACCTGGGATAGATGGAGCCGAAGACACGGAAGATTTTCCCACTGATGGCAGTTTGTTCTACCCCGACAATCCTGAGATGGCTGAACTCTACGATCACCTGTTTGACAGCGAAGATGAATGGGCCGAATGCCTTATGTTGGTTTCAAACACAAGATATCTGGTCCCACGATTTCGCGCTCCTCTAGCCAGTCCCTTCAATTTAAACGACATGTTATGCGATAGACGTACTGATTTTCAACAGGCTATGAGAACATCTCCTGAGGGCTTCAACGCCCTTCTTGCGTTGATAGAAGACCACCCAGCTTTCTTTTCATCTAGCCGGAATCCACCACCACCTATTGAACAACAGCTTGCGATCACCTTGGAGCGCTTAGGCAGCAACGGAAATGGTGCCTCCGTCGGTAGATTTGCTCGAAACTATAAAGTCAGCCGTGGAGCTATCATCAACTGTACACGCCGGGTCATCAAAGCAATCTTAGATCGAGGCAAATCTTACCTTCAATGGCCAAACAGCAAAAGGCGTAAGGCCATCTCTCATGTACTCGACGCCAAAGGCTTTCCGGGATGTGTTGGGTTTGTTGATGGGACAACTATCCCCTTATTTCAAAGACCTGGAGTTGATGGAGAGGTGTTCTTCGATCGGAAGCATAGATATTCCATCAATGTCCAAATTATCTGTGATTGTGATCGAAGAATCACTTACGTCTATGCTGGGTGGCCAGGATCATGTTGTGATAGTACAGTGTACAACAAAACCAACATTGCCAACAATCCAGATAAATACTTTGATGAAGGTAGGTTTTTTGACCTCCTATCCGCGTGATTCATACTGACTCATTCCTATTCATGTGTTTCAGGCCAGTACCTCATCGCCGACTCTGCGTATACACCAACCAAGACAGTTGTCCCATCTTACAAAGGGCAAGCTGCAGAGGTTAGCAGGAATCGCGACTTCAACTGGTGCGTAGCCAAAGTACGAGTATGTAACGAGCACTCCATTGGGGTTTGTAAGATCCGCTGGGCCTCACTACAGTGCTTACGCCTAGCATTGAACAATCCGGAAGACATGGCACACATTCTAGATTGGATTCGGGTTTGTGTGATACTTAATAACATGCTCGCAAACCTGGGAAATGCGTGGGATGATATTGCACAAGAAATCATCAATAATGAAATTGATCAGCCAGCTGTCACAAATTTGGAAGACATGGATTTAGATGCTGATGTGGTGGAGCGCGGAAGAGCAATGAGGGAATTTGTGCGTGATCATGCTGTTGCTTACAGCTGGCAAAGTGGCGTCCTTCCCATTATCGATTAAAATTGTAGCTCCTTTTTGTTTTCATGTTGAAGATGTGTGTGGGAATTCCAATTAATTGCACTTTTTGTTTGTTCAATAAAATTTTATTAAACTTTGAAGCGGATTATTGAATAGTTCTCTCTCAAAAAACTTTAGTAACTGATGATACCTATTGAATAGTTCTCTCTCGAAAAACTTTTGTTTAATGCTTCTCAATCTCGAAGTTCATGCAAACAAAAAAGATTCATTTCGAAACGTTTTTTTGATTTACAAAAGAGTCCACTCACAAAAGAAGAAAGGAAATATACATTTGTTTTATTTTTTAATGAAGTAGAATTTTTTTATGTTTCAAAGTTTTTGTAATGAAGCAGAAGATTTTTTTTCGGATTTTTAAACTTTTTGCACTCTACACTAAGTGAAGGAGAAAAAAAGTGGGCGTCTATGGAGTAAAAATTTGTGCATTATTCTAAAATATCCTTGAATAATGACCCTGAGCAATCAGATTAACTAGGTGGTGGTGATTTCAGATGGTGATTGGATGTTGTAACATAACACATGTTTGATTTGAAAAGTGGTGATTGGCTGATTTTGATTGATTGCTTGACTTGAAAGTTTGAAAAGTGGTGATTGGGTGATTTTGATCGATTACTTGACTTGAAAGATGAGACCGAAAACGAAATGGTTTTGCAGCAACTAGAAGAGGAGGGTGAATGTTGTATGAATTCGCTTTTTTGACTTGATAGATAGGTTGAAACAGTGATGTGATTTCTAGAATCACTAAGGAATTCGATAACTTTGATTTGATGTTTCAGTAGGTTGATTGTTTTGAAAACTTTGATTTTTGTTGTGATTTGTCTTGAATTGATGAAATACCGGTAAGGAAATAATGAAATTGATGATTGGAAGATATTAAAATTGACTGATTGAATTCGAAAAACAACACCGGTAAGGAAGATACTGCAAAGTACGAATGCGGGTTGAAGTCTTGAATTGATGAAATACCGGTAAGGAAATAATGAAACTGACTGATTAAATAATAAAATCGACGATTGAAAGATAATAAGGTTGACTGATTGAATTCGAAAAACAACGCCGGTAAGGAAGATACTGTAATAAATAAACTGATATACTGTGATAAATAAACTGATTGATGACTAATGAATGAGAGCAAAAATAATAGTTAAAATCTTGAAGTGATGAAATAAATAAAAAACGATTGAAGACTTTG